AGTTTGAGGGAGAAAAGAAGAACATTAAGTGAATTAGTGTAATCCACCAGCTTTGAGGCAATCAATATATTCATATTTGCTCAAGTCTGTAAACTCTTATGATTTGTTAGATTCATTTCTGGATCTAGCTTGCATTTTTTACAAGTTTTGGCTCTTAAGTTTAATAATAACATATTGACTGTATACAAGCTCAGTGTGAGTATGAAACAACACTTAACTTCTGGACTTTTTTCTGTCAGTGGATCAGAAGTTGGGGAGATTCGTATATCTGGTTTACAATAACATTCTAAATGGATTTCTTTAAAGGAATGTCATCTTAAAATCTTATCTAGACATTATTTTTTGGCCAACTACTCTATCTTGTTGATGTATTGAATGATATTTCAGTCAGTATTACGTAGCTTCAAGATCATGAGTGCCCTTTAAAGTTGCTCTTGAATTTGTTAAATTTGTTTTGTCTGAATAATTTAATTCACTTTTTCCAGGTGCTGCAACAGGGTCTGGTGCTAGCTTTGGGGCTGCATCTGTGAGTAACATATTTTCTTTATTGTAACTCAATTATGGTTCCTGTCAAAACCTGCATAAAGAGCAAGGAATGACATAAGAGAACTTTGATCACCGAGAAATATTATTCCTTGCTACAGTTTTGAGCCCCTCGTTGTACTTGTACCTGCATAACTGTATTCACCTTCCCTAATCTTATACATTTCTTTGTTCTTGCAGAAATCATCAAGGCCTAAATCTCGAACAACACGGCGCTAGTCACATTACCTGAACATTCAAATTCACTACATAGAAGCAACTTATGCACTGTTCAAATGATTATTTATGCATTCAAAGAAATTTCTCCCCTCTTGAGTCTTGACATCAGCTTTAATGTGGCATCTTTTTCTCGAAGAATTTGTTCATTCTAGGGACTCGTTGTCCTAGTCCAGGAAAACTACATTTGTGCTCCTAACATGAAACACCCCAATTCAACCTCATTCCCTTGTCTTTTCGGCATTGGAGGAAGATGTTGCAATAACTCCATGTTATTGTCTGTAACATTGTAGAATACCATTGTAAGTAGTTTTCTTTTATAGTGGTTATTGTCCCAAAGAACATTAAAACTTTCAAGACCAATTTATCTTCAGATTGTGGGTGGTTGGATTTAGCTTATCATAAGCATACTTATCCTGTACCGTACTCATAGGGTTGGGTGGTCATAGTAACATTTTCCATGCCACCAGAGAATAATTTGAGTTCGATGGAAAACTCGAGTCTATTTATTCCGTACTTTAGAATATCACTTTACAGATGGTATTCTATCTGTTTATTACCATTCCAATTTCAAGCTGTAGAAAACTTGATCTATATACGGAGCTAGCTGGAGTCGACGAAACAAAGAATTTGCTCATAGTTGTAGGGAAGGACTACGCAAAAAGACGTTCTGACGATAACTAAAATGGAGCTTTCACACACTCCACCAAAGAGTCGCTTTGGCCGAGTGGTTAAGGCGTGTGCCTGCTAAGTACATGGGGTTTCCCCGCGAGAGTTCGAATCTCTCAGGCGACGTTTCTTTTCAATTTTTTACCCCCTCATATTAAAAAAAGAAAAAGAAAAAGAAAACAACTTTTCCGGACGCTGAGGCACAGTGCAGGACTGGTTCGGAGACTGAATTCATTCTGCACTTGGACACTGAATCGCAGCAGCGCCGGCGTCGTTGAAGCTCATCCTGGAAGTCGGAGCTGGAATTGGAGAGTGTCTTCTGGAGTATTTTCCACCTGAGGAGAGGATGTCTTCTGGCTCTGACTACTCGCTTTTGTGGCGGCTGTTCGACGATTATCTCCCTCCTTCCACCGTTAGTTCCGAAAATCCTTCATTGTCAAGTTTCCTTTTGAAGTCATCTTCTTCGTTCCTTAAATTTGTCCTTAAATTTTTTTACCTGAATTATAAAACTACGATTCCAGGAACCACAGGAAGTCTCCATATCCAAGGACGGAGAAAAACGCCTTTTGCTCGCTCTCTCTCAGGTTTCCATCGGCATCCCTTTCCTCAAATTCCTTCAATTCTGATTGCTCTTTCATGTAACCCTAATTACCTCCATTTCAGCTCTCCAGAGAAATTCAGCTGTTGACTGCTAACGCTACCTCGAATCTCCGGCGAGAGGATAATCACTGTTTATCTGATATAATTTCACGTTTAGTAAGTAAGTTCCTCTCCCTCAATTCAGATTAGAGACGCAAGCCGTTGATGTTTTTGGATTTTTCTTGCAGATAAGGCTGTTGACGGTCCAGAGTCCATTTGTTTCACATTTAGCTGGAAACATTCTTGTAGCCATCTCCGAGTTGGTTGCCTCATCTGTATGTTAACAAATATGCATTGGGGATTTATTTTCTTTCTTATAGAAATTTCCCTTAATTTTCTTATCTATGATTGCTTTTGCAGGGAAGTGGGTGGGATTTTTTTATCCGCCTACTATGTGTTTATGCGGAAATGGTTGTTACTAATATGTCAAATGTTCATTTTGAACCTTCGCCATTGCATAGTGAGTTGTTAGGTTTCTTGGTTGTATTTAAAGATAGGTTGAAAAATGTCAACTGGCTTACAGTGGCTGGAATTATTCAAGTTTTACGGAATATTTTGAAGTATTTGAAGCAGGAGCGGGATGATGAACTTGTGGATGTTTATTTGGATTCTGTGAATTCCTGTCTTCTCAATGTGCCTTGGAGTTCCATGGATGTGATTTTTGATGACCATTATGGGAATAAGAGGTACAACATTCAAAATGGCAGTGAAAAGGAGCCAAGAGTTTTGTTTCTTGGGAATTTTATTCAGTTCCTGTGTTCATTTGCTGAGCAAGTATGTTCTGTGGAAACTCTGGGGGGCTCCCTAGATAAGCATGTAATTCTTCCCAAAATCATCAACCTTATACCAAAACTTTTATATTGGTGCCTTGGCAAGGGAGGAAATTGTGTCAACAAGCGCATCTCTCAATACTTAAAGCACAAGTTACTGGTATCTGTTTCTCCCAATTGTTTGTTAAATTAACTTGTAAAATACTTTTCTAGTTTATGTATACATAGTTTGGTTGACCAAGGCAAATTTTGTTGGAATATATTAAAGAGTGTCAGAATATGTCTTAGAACTTTTCTACTGTGATAATTTGTTTTGATGATCATATAAAAGCAGTCTAATAATATCTTGAACTGAAAACATGCTTCAGGTGTTAATGATTAGGCTTAGTTGCCAAATCTGTCTGGACTCTTTGGTTCTTCTTTCCTGGTTGACACTTCTCCACGATTACTTTCAAGAGCATTTGTATGAACCTGTAATGCAAGTTGGAGATAAGGATGATTGCCTAGGAGATTCTCCATTTTTGTCTAGTGTTTCTCATGGAGAGGAGTATAGTAAGAGTATGTCCTCTTGCCATTTACAAAGACAAGCTATTTTCCTTTTCCTGAGATGTTCCATCAGTTTGATGAACCTCAAAGAAGACACTGAAATGCATTGTTCTTGTTCAACTGCAAGCCCCTGTTTGGTTTCTGAAGCAATGCCAGATCTGTGTTGCTGCACTAGAAAGAAAGGTTTGCTGCAGATTTATACATGGCTTTGTGGACATCTTCCAATAGATGTGTTTATAGACCATGAAATGTACACAGTGAAGTGCATAAAGTTTGCCTCTTTCTTACTG